TAGATAGATAGATAGGTAGATAGATAGATAGATAGATAGATCACAGATACATCGTGGGTAGATCATAGATAGATCGATCGACAAATCGATAGGTAGATAGATAGATAGATAGATAGATAGGTAGATAAGCAGATAGGTAGATAGGTGGATGGGTAGATAGGTGGATAGGTAGATAGAGAGATAGATAGATCGATAGATAGATAGATCGATGGATCGATAGGTCGATAGATAGATAGATAGATAGATAGATAGATAGATAGATAGATCGATAGATAGATAGATAGATAGCTAAGATACATGTATCAGTCCTATTACTATTAGCCCTGAACCCTTACCCTAAACCTTGAGGCCAGCGCAAGGCCGTACCGGTGAGCACCACCAGCCTCAGAAAATGGTGTTGAATCTCATAGTAGTTGTGCCAGCAGGAAGGAGGCAGCACTAAAGGGGAGCCGGAACACTTAGCTTCGCCAGGCTACTGCTCGAACTACTTGTTGAGGGTTCGGTGACAAGGGTTCAGGCTGTTCCTGGGCTTTAACTTGAGTTTACAATGGCAGTGTCTCACCGGTTGCTAAGCTAAAGGGTTTAGGATATACAAACTTAACAAGGGAGCACGCTTTTTCGAGGAGGGTGTGGCCAGTGAGTCGGGATACAGCCGGGACGCGTGCCCCCGAGAGATCAACTCCGAGCCGCAAGCTCCCTCCGACCACCGAGGGCCACACCCGGATTGTGTCCGCAGAAGGCCTGCAGAAGACTTCATAAGTTGTATGGACTGCTGCTGCTACTCCCACTTGCTGGCACTAGCCCTTAGACCAGTACTAGTACCCGTGCGAGTACTACGAGGTGCAATTTCTGTCCCGGCGGTAGTGGTGGCAGTGGCATTAGCAGAAGGGTTTGCAAAGCAGCCGCTGCACAGGTCATGGAGTTCGTTCTCTGCTTGTACAAACAGGAGATGCACGTGCTTCCTGACGCTCGTCTCCGATAGCAGCGGCACAAAGCACACCAGCCCCGTAACTGGTAGGCCCTGGTAGGTGTGCTATGAGTGGGGCACACAGGATTCATGGCAGCGACTGCTGAAACTCCTGCACACGGCACAAAAAGAAAAAGACAGGCTTCCCTTTTTAAGTGAGTCCTCTTCCAAGCTCAAGTCAGTGCCTAAATTACTTCGAAGTAGTCGGACACTGGGGGGGCACCTGGAACATCCTGGAGCTATGTCATCGAACAGTTGGTAGGCATGAACAAGTGCCATTGCAAAGTGGGAAGAATGCGATTTATTCTGCATGAAGCATCCAGCTCTCATAGTGGAAGTCATCACGACATGACGAATTCTGCTAAAAGTCAATGCCCGAAACCCAGCCCCAAGCCCAGAACTCTAAATTCAACACCTGAAACCCTCGTGAGCATCTGAGACAGCTAGAACCACCCGGGTCGAATCTTCGCCGGGCGGGCGCTTCGTGCGGAGGTCTCGATGCAGTGTCCCGCAGCTGTGCAGGTAGGACAGGCCCAGCAAGGCCTTCGAGGTCGTGGGTTCGTTTGGAGTCTAGCTTCCTGACGGCCCACAACCGAACAAGCCACAAATTGATTCGGCACGTAAGCCTGACATTCCAGGCAATGTCGTCGAACCCAATTCGAGAAGCGAAGCTCAGAAACTCAATTCTTATTTTAAAGTGGTCCATTCTCATGCCGAAGCCCCCAAGTCCTAAAATCGGCCCCCCGACCCCCGGGACTTGGGCTTAGGGTAGTTCGGGCAGCTTAGGCAGATGCCTTTCAGGTCTCAGTCCGAGGCAACCGCGAAGCACAAGCCGTCAAGCCGTGCGACTTCCAACGGCAAAGCCTTTAAAGGACTAACGCAGCGGCGAGCCTTCGAAAACAGCTTACTCTCGAAGGAACTACAAGGCCCCGGATTTCGAAATCCGTGACTGCGTTCAAACTCACGAATCAACCCCTTAAAACCCGACACCCAAGAAAGCCAAGCCCGAAACCCTAAACCTTCCGCGGAAACCCTAGACCCCCGGCGCCTGCACGAAAGAATGCAAGACCTTCTCCGGACCAATCTGGGTCCTGAAACTGCCTGGAACAGATGCTGTGGAGCTTTCGTGAAACAAGGCCTGCCTTGCTACGTTGACACAAGGTCCTATACTCGTGGTTCGGATGGCGAGCTCGAGACCCGAAACGAAACCTGCCCCAAACCCACATATCTGTGTGGATCTGTATACATGCACAATATAACGAGGTGTGCACACCCTCCAAAAAAACAAGCATCAATCCTACAGCCCAAACCCCGGAGAGTAAAAAAAACAACGCCGGCCGCCCCCGCGTGGCCCCAAGACGCGCCGGGAGCACGCGCCGCATCCACCTCTTGGGGCGGCTCAGGGTTGGGGCTTGGAAGGCCCTGGGAGTCCAGGAGACGGAGAGAGAGAGAGAGAGAGAGAGAGAGAGAGAGAGAGGGAGAGAGAGAGAGAGAGGAGAAAAATTAGTAAGAACTCTTGGAACTCAGCGCTAGTTGTAAGAGCTTCGGCTGTCCGAAGCAGGGTTTTTCAACCTGCGGACCTTGGAGGCTAAGGATTTTTTCGGGTGCTTATAATGGCTCCAAGGATTCGACATGTTAAGGGTTTAGCCCTCAAACCTGGAAGCCCCAACCCCACTTCCTGGATCCCAAAACCACCGCAGCCCGGAAAAAACCTTCAGACTCCAAATGTCAAAAGCATCTGTGGATGTGGGTTTAGTGCTTATAGGGTTTACTGCAGGAGCTCCCCAAAGCCAAAGAAAAGCGGGTAGAAACTCTGAGCCCTACACAGAAAGCGCAACACGTCCTGTTTCGGACACCCCGAATGCATGCTGAAACTCGGTGGAACCCATATAAGCCGCCCAAAGCCCTTGGCAAAACCTGATTGCTCAACCCTACAATACTACAGCCGCCCCTGTAGAACCTGCATGCTTCAAAAAATCATAGATATAAACCACCCCTACTAGCCCCGGACCCTCCAGTTGAAGACCCGTCAGACTGCGGTGCCTCGGCCGCTAAGCTGCCTGCCGCTGCTCAAAAGAGCTTGGGGGCGCTCGCAAGGGTTCAGGGCTTCAGGGGCTTTCGGGCGCTGAGTCCGGGTTTCAGCTTGGAAGAGCTTCAGGGCTTGCGATTAAAAGTTCTCACGGGCTTTAGGGTTCAAGTTCCACCGGGGCGACATCGGGGGGTGAAACCCTAAACCCTGAGCCGAAGCTCAGGCTTCTCTGAAGATTTACCATGGAAGGTTGCTATACAAACTTTTGGGCTTAGGCCCCCGAAAGAGGACAAAGAAGGTGGCCTGGGACCTAGAGAGTTGAGCTGCGAGACTACCTGCAACCCTGTCTAAGCGCATCCGCCGAACACACTTCGTCAAGAAGAGCACCCAGACCAGAACAACTGCTCTAACCAGCCAGCCGCATGTCACCAAGACGCAGCTGCCAATCTTGAAGACACGCTACAAACCCCTCTCGACGCAAGTCTAAGTGCCTCGAGGCAGATAGTCCATGACCAGGCAGAGCCGCCCTGCAACGACCCGGAAGGCAGGAGGTGCTTGCGGTGTTTTGGCGTTCGTGCTGAGACTGAGGGCTCTGATCCTACAAGTCCCGCGGCCAAAGAGGGGCAGTGGCATCCAGGGCTGGCTGGTGCAAGCTTCGTGCGGCTTGCACTTCAGATCTCAGCTTTTGTATTTATCCGGGTTAGCCTGCCGGAGCCTAGGGCTTGCAATCCCCTGAAGCTTTTAGATTGAGGCGCCGTGCGTCCTGACGGCCAAGGCTTTATCCCCAAAGCTTTTCTCGGGAACCAACAGACAGGGCCTAGGTTTTCAACTCGGAGCCGGAACTCCCTGGGCTCTTTCCACCCGTGCCCGAAGTCCCAAAACCTGGAGAGAACTGCAGGCACAAGTTTGGTGGTTGGAAGTGGGAGCTGAGATTTGTTCATCAGTGTTTGTGTTAGTGATACTGGTCACAAGAACCCCCTTTGAGGTATCTGCTTCATTGGGAGCTCACTAGCTGCAGAAAAAGAGTCCTGCCAAAGGGATCCAAGTTTGAGTTGGCCCTCACCACCCCCAAACATCATCGCGGTCGCGATGTCGTGCTTCCGGATCATGTGAAGTGTACGGCTTAATCCGCTGTCCGGAGCGAAGCCTTGCCCTCGACCCCACGGTCCTGCGGCGTTCGCCCTAGTTGAAGAGGGCCGGAGGGCCCGCGCGAGCTTTTTCTTTTTTGGACCGCTGGCCTCGCTCTTCCTTGACATCAGTCGCGAAGGACGTCGAGAGTTGAGAGTTGATCAAAAAGCCTTCACGGTTAAGCTAGGCAGGCTTCCCCGAAACTCTCAACCCTCAATTCTGGATGGCCTCAAGCCTACTGCTCGTGCAGCCCTCATGGCCAGGGAAGCAGATCGCCCAGTGGAGACGAGGACAGGGCTGGGCCGCTTCGCTAAAACCAAGGCAGAGGCGGTGCTTTCAGGGTTTCGGAGCTGTTGGCTATTTCTGCTTCCGGCGAGCGGCTCTGAATTTGAGAGCTCGATGTTGACATCTGCCTCATCTTCGGGTTTCTGAGTTTCCGGTGGTTTTTGCTGCCATCTCTGTGTCTCACTGCGGTGTGTTTGCTCACTTGGGATTCAAGTTTATGTTCAGTTGAGCAGCGGGCCCGGCTGCGCTAATGAAGGGCCTATGCCTGAGCACGATACTACCACCAAGTTGTTGTTGAGTGCCCCGTTGCAGTTTCGTGGCCGACCCCTCCCCCACCCCTTCCGAGATTGCAGCATTTAACCAAAGCCACTAGACTCCTCGTTTTCAGGCCTCTGTCTAGGGGCTGCGACTCAGTGTTGACTGCACTAGGATCCACAGGATGGCTGAAATCGTTGGGTTTGGGGCTTGGAGTGAAGGGGCCAAGGTTGAGAGGCCCCGGATGCATGAAAGGTGAAACCGAAGCTTGCACATTCTGGAGGTCGCCCCCACTCCGGAGCCAAAGCTGAAAGAGCTAACAGCTCAGAGAGCTGGTCATCGCCCAGGTATGGCCTGGCAGCGGGGGCTTTGGGATGCGCCGCCTTTTTGGAGGAAGTTTGGCAGCACAAACCGAAGTATAGACAGCTTCACGACTTCGGGGAGTGAACTGTGGAAGGACTCGAAGAAGTGCCGCAAGTGCTGAAGGGTGCACTAAGGGCATATTTAAGAGAGCAAAACGTTTCAGAACGACCTAAAGGCACATAGCCTGAGTCCTAGAGCACCCGCTGGCCTCAGCACTGGGCAAGGGGTTCGGGGTGCAGTGCAGCTGCCCTTCGACGGCGCTGCTGTCGCCCCCATGCAGCGCATCCCCCCACGTCACCAAGCGGCCGTCCATGCGGACGGCTGCAAAGGCCCGTGAGGAGGCCCAGATCTGAGTCACCTCCGTCAGCTGCTCCTGGACCTGGCTGGGGGTTTGGGACAGAGGACGGCAATCTGCCATCTCCTGTTGAAGTCCGGGCCCACTCCCCAAAACTCTCAGGCCAGCAGCGCAACACTCAAAGAGCAAACACCACGGAAGCCTCAATGCTACGACTGACCCAAACTTTGAGCTCTTTCGCCCTGGCAACCCCACACGTCCCCACCTCGCTGCTGTCGCCGCCTGCGGGGCCACAGCCCCAGGTGACGACGCGGCCGTCCCGGCGGAGAGCGGCAAAGGCACAACCCGAAGCCTTGACGTACTCCACTTCCGTCCTCGGTCTTTCTCGGAACTCTAGCTCGACCGCTTGCAAGACCCAAGACGTGAACCGTAAAGCCTGTCGGTAGATCCCAAACCCGGCCTCACGGATCCGGTTTTACAGGGCAAGCTTTGGAGAGTCCCGCAGCCTCACAAAATTTTAGGTTTTGGACTTCTTGTTCTGGAGAGGAGGGTTTAGGGCTCAAGGTTTGAGAAAAAACCCTCTCAGGCACTGTCTCCTCCGGGGGCCGTGAGTCTTGGGGCTTAACGACATGGCGTAGTTCAGGGTTTTGCGGTGGTCGAGACGGAGATGTTGAAAGGCTTGGCCTCGGCCACCGAATTTCACAGGAAGCCTAAACCCCAAGCTTGCCCTAAACCCAAACGGACTCTGCTCAGGGTCCGAGAAGAGCCCTCGACTAGCCTGCAACCCCGCGTTCCTTCGCAAACCCCCTTTTCTCTGGACCCTGTCCTATTTCCTTGTAGTGATATCTGGTAGGGCTCCCAAGTCCGAGTCCGAGGTTCAGCTGCTCCTGGACGGAGCTGCAGTCCCCGCCGCATCGCGGGAGGCCCCAGGCGACGACTTTCCCGTCTCTCTGGAGGGCCGCGAAGGCTCGGCTCGAAGCCCACAGCTCCAGCACCTAACGTCCGAAGTGGCCCCGGACCCGAACCTACACCGTTTGGGATTGTGGATGTAGACAGGAAGGAATGGATAATGGATCGAGGGGCCTCCACTAGCTGGTCGCCCACCGCCTCGCTGTCCCCACCATACAGCGGGTGGCCCCAAGTCGCCACGCTGCCATCGTGGCGCAGCGCGGCAAAAGCACCGAAGCTGGCATGCAAGGATGCCACCCCTGTCAGACACAGGTCGCTGGCTCCTCGGTTCAAATTGAGGCCCCAGGTAACCACCAGCCCATCCCAGCGCAGTGCGGCGAAGGCCGTCGCTACGGCGCGGATGTCCTTCACGCCCGTGAGCTGCTCTTGGACCTCGTCGCTGCAAGCACCGGGGCCGCGGCCCCAGGTGACCACGCCGCCGTCGGCCTTGATGGCGGCGAAGGCTCGACAAGAGACGCGAACCTCTCGTACTTGGTTCAGCTGGTCTTGGACGGCGCTGCTGTCCCCATCCTCTCCCCACGTCACAACCTGCCCATCCTTGCGGATGGCGGCAAATGCTAAGAAAGAGGCACGGAGCGCCACCACAGCCTGGAGCCGGTCCTGCACGGAGCTGCAGTCGCCTCCCGCAACCACAGAGCCCCAGGACACTACGCGGCCGTCGGCACGCAGGGCAGCGAAGGCGCTGGAGGACCCCCGCAACTCCAGCACGTTGCACCTGAGTCGTCATAGTTAACGGTCCTGTTTTTGAAGGCAACTTAGACTTAGAAGTAGACTTTGGCCTGCTTTTCAAGAACATCCTCATTCCACAGAGCCCAGGCACAGCTGGTCTTGCACAGCGGAGCTGTCCCCTCCGTAGGCGGGTTCGCCCCAGGAAACGACGCTGCCGTCGTATCGAAGCGCTGCAAACGCCCCGGCCGTAGCTTGCACATCTCGGACATCCTCCAGACTTTCCTGGGCCAGTCCAGGATCGCCTGCGGGACCAAAACCCCACGTAATCACGCTGCCATCCGGACGTATGGCGGCAAAAGCTTCTGGGCTCAGGACATCCTCGAAGAAGGGCCAGGACAAGAGGCTGCCAAGGCACTCCCACGGGGAGACGACACGCAGCTGCCGAACTGTCAAGGTCACGACCTGCTCCGTGCAAAGACCAGCTTGCTGTAGACTGGTTTCCGGAAGGAGGTCTAGGCCACCTTCCTTCGTCCAGAGCCGGTCGATTCCTACTCCCAGCCTCTGCTGGGCCAACTGTCGAAGGTCGTTGATGGTGCTTTCGGGTGAAATCTGGAGCCGAACCGCACGGCCACTGAGCAGGGTGGCATAAATGGTTGCGGCCATTCTGCTCAAAAACGCACATGCCACTGATTCCGACTAACGATTCGTCCAAGCTGGACGACTGAAATGCCGCGTCGCAAAAACTCTGCATGCCCACACACCGACCGTCACCGAACCCCCCTCACCGGCGGCAATGAATCAAAAGTCAAGCACACAAACCCTGAACAATAAAGACCCTGCACCCAAATCGGACAGAAGCCATCTGCGCGGGCATTTCCAATACCGACACACCACATCCTGAACAATCGGACCTGTAAGGGTGAGTTAACTTTGCACACCGTTCATATTGTTACGATATGCAAGAGTGCAGTATTGCGGATATGATGGAAGCTAGCTCAGACTGCTTGCACTGCGAAAACATGGCAAGACTTGCCTTAGCAAGTGGACTTTTACGAAGGAGCCTCTGAAGGCAAGCTACGGCCTGAAAGAGTAAAAACCAGTTTGGGGGTCAGCTATACTACATAACAAGCAGGAGTCCACACTCTTCACACCTATCTGGCCCAATTTGAGACCAAGCAAGTCCACATCCTCCAAACACGAAAACGAAAGATCTCGGCAGGCTCAACAAGCTTGAACTTAAACCGAACTGCAAAACTTAGCGCGCTTCAAGGGCAGAGCCTTATGGGAACGTGTCTCAAAGATGCCCAAACGCAACCTCAAAGCTAGAATCCAAAACCCTGCTCCCCAAACCCTGGAATAAGGCCAAACCCGAAACATCCTGACCTAAACCAACTCCGAGCGGCCTTGGTGCAGAAAGGACTCCCGCATCCTGGGCAACGAAAGTCCAAGCGGAGTGCAGGCAGGGTTGGAAGAAACATGGAAATATTGAACCCGAACCCTAAACCTTTAAACCCTAAACGTGCATCGGTGCCAGGGCACGGAAGCAGGTAGGGATGACGCAGTTTCGTCAGGCCTGGTCGCGGAGACGACACCGAAGGTCCCGATGCTTGGGGTCGGTCAGAAGGGCCGCTATGTTCTTGGCTTTAAAGACAGACCCTTCTGCTTGATGGCTCTATGATTCGATAAGCTGTTGCAGGGTTTCAGGGTCTTAGCGGTTTCGGAGTTTGGGGTTCAGACATTGGGGCTTGCAGAATGTGAAGCTCTGCAAGGACCCCAAAACAAAAAACAAAAAGTGCCACTAAATCTATGCAAACCAAACGCACGCTCCGAAACTGAACACAAAACCCCACCAACAACCTCTAGGACCCGCTTAAACAAACCTTAAGCCAACACAGACAGAAGAAGCAAGGAAACCCCAGAAACGAAGCCTCGGAGTTCGCGGAGGAGCTCGGACCGCTCCGCGCCGTTTAGCGCGGCGACCTCCGAGGTTCTGAGCTTACTGTTACTGTGGGGTTCCCAGAGACTCCAATACCCCTTAATTAAGGAATATACCTTAAATTATAGTAGGATCCCTAATAAGATTTAAGGTATATTCCTTCATTAAGGGGTATTGGAGTCCCTGGGTTCTTTTGGTGGGGAAAGGCAGATGGGTAGGGCTTGCCGTGGGGCTTCTCGGGTCGTCTAGGGCTCGCAAGGCTCTCAGGGCTTATGGTAGGGCTTGGGTGTTACGGTTAGGTCCAGCATTTTCGGGAGGGTTTCACAAGGGATTTTATACGGCGGCTTGTGGTTTTTTGAAGGTTCTATACGGGCTTCTTCAGAGGGGTGAAGCTATAAACGAGCTTGAAGCAGGATCAGGGGCGCTGCATGGGCGTTGCTTCACTTTTGGGCTGGTGCTGCAGATTTTTCAAAGAAGGTTGCACACTCACAGAGATCTGCTGGAGTTCAGAGGCTGCCAAGGCTGTTCAAGGGATTGGTGCTGCTAGCCAAGGCTCTATGGGGCCTCGTAAGGGCTTTACAAGGTCTTTATCGACCCTTCTAGGGTTCAGGACTTTAGGGTTCTCGGGGTTGTGGATGGTTTGCAAGCTTTGTGGCGTAGAGAAGTTGTAGAAAGGGTTCGTCAAAAAGCTTCATGAAGGCTGCGGGTGGGCCTCATATGCTTCTCTCCGATTCAAACTCGTTTCTGTGGAGCTTCATGTGGTTCTGAAAGGTTGAGAACCCTGCCGGCCCAAATCCCTGCACACCTTCAGAACGCTGAAACACGCACCAAATCTGATAGCATACGCCACCAGGCATCTACAACTCCACTACAAAGAGCCCACAAAGCAACGAACCCAAGCTCGGCCCCAGGCGTCGATGGTCTTCATCATCGCCAGCGTGTCGGACTCCACATCTTTGATGAGCAGCGACACGCCGAAACGGCCTCGTCGAGTGCTGGGTTCCCGGGTTCCCTGAAGCCGGGCAAACCCCAAGAACCTCAGATGCTGGAACTGCCAAGGCCCCAGCTAGACCTGCTAACGACTTGAAGAGTGTGTGTGTGTGTGGGGGGGGGGGAGATGCTGGACTACCACTATTTCCCAGATGCTACGCGGCCAATCTTGCAAGAACCACTCAGGCCTCGACATTTTCGACACGAACACAACAGCTCTCGAAACGAATACGAAAAGTGCTGCAACCCACAGAAACTCAGATTATGACGCTTGTGTTCTGCTTCTTCGCAACGCTCAATCCGAAACCTTTGACTTGAGCGGAGCTGCCCACGCTGAGGTGTCGCAGCCGCTCGTATCGCCGGACCATGGGATTTTGGCTCAGGCTCGAAGGCTTGGTCGAGGGTGTTTGGGGTTTCGGCGGTTTAGGGGTTGGGCTTCAGGCTCGAGGATTTAGGGTTTAGGGTTTCGGGTGTGTTTAAGGCTTGGTTGTTGGGTGTTAAGGCTTGGACAGCTGAGGGGCGTATGGGCGTGCTTGAGCTCCCTAAAATTGTGCTTGCGGCTCCTGGCCTCTTCTTCCCTGGTAAACACTCTGAGCATCGGAGAATTCTGAACTCTGCTGACCAGGCTGAAAGCTGGTGTGCAAATTCTCAGGCTCTTGGCATAAACAACCGGAGTAGCCAAGCCAGGGCCTGGGTGTACAGAGAAAGCATAGTACCGAATGTCGGATCTCTTCTACACGCCCGGTCATGTTCCGAGACTGCCGGCTGACAGTTCGGCCGTCGGGGAAGTTCCTGGGCTTAGGAGGCAGACGAAACGAACTGGGGCAGGATCAGGTCCTCAGACGCAGGCCTCCACGGAGCTTCGTAACACATGGCTCATGCCGGCAGTGCAACAGGAAGATGCACATGGTGAGGTGCTAGCTAGCATCCAAAACCTCAGTCCCGGAACCTAAGATCTCGAAACTGCCATTCCACGGGCAATGTGCAACAGAGATTGTGCGGCACTCCTGGAATGTATCTAGTGCTTACAACGCGTTTGGACCACGAGCGATGATGTTGACATGATGTAAACTTGATGGGGAACTGGGAAACTCTGAACGAAATCCGGAACCCTTCAAAGGAGTACTTTCGTGGACCGAGCGCTTGCCCAAGATTTTGTGAAGTCATCATACTGATACTGACGGTGATCACACTTATAGTGGTGAAATGACCATGTGGACGGGCATGATGCATGATGAGTCTGATTTTCTTCATGGTTGCGACAATCATGGCATTTCCTGTCCGAACGGCAAGGCTGCTTATCCTGACTATCCGTCTCAGGGCACCTAAAATCTATAAAGCCTGAAACCTCGAGACTGGAGGTGTTTTCGCCTGCCGCCGACAGAATCTTTGGACGGGTGTGACACGTGGCAAGCTCGAACGTCTCCATCGAAGTTTAGTTGAAGCTTGCTGGCTGGTTGAAGGCGTAAGGAGCCGCGCTTCGGACTTAGGAGCTTGTCGCCTTTTCAAAACATGTTTTCGGCTGCAGGGGCTTCGGCTTTCTGCCCGCTTCGCTTGAGGACTGGCAGGGACTTCGGGCTTCGTCCTAGCCTCGCGCTTCAGCTCTAGGTTCTAACCGATTGCTCCCACCTCAGTCGACCTTAAGGTAGTCTGACACAACGACCACGAGCAGGAAAAAAAGACCTGGGTTGGGTCCAAGCTGAAGTAGCTGTCTGTTCTCCTTGTTGCTCACGGTTCACACCTTGTCGCAACATCTTCACAAAAGTAATGCTGGGGAGAATGAGGGTATCGGATTCAAACGTGTTGGCTTTCTGAGCCCTCGTTGTTAAGGGTTGGGGGTTCGATGTTCAGGGGTCGGAAGTGAATCCTGATTGTCGCCACAAATCCGACAGGGAGCAGATACCGCCAAAGGCGAACTCGAAGGTGGAAACTCCTGTCACGACACCCCACAGGTACCAGCTTTCGGCTTCCAGGAACCCCCTTATCCGAATATCCTAAACCCTCCCCCTTACGCTCAATCCCCGAACTCGTCGCGCCAAAGAAGCCCCCTCCTTCGGCCTCGGGCCTCCGAATGTGTCAGCCCTCTTTAAGGGGCACTGTAAGGGTTTCGGGAAGCATGGAAAGCGGTCTAAAGGAGAATACACGCACTTCAACCCCACACCTCTCGTCTTTAGGGTCTCGCGCTTCCTTTACGGCTTAGGGTTGCTGACTGGGTGCTGGCGCACAGGGGCGCCTGGTCCGTTGAGTTGGCTTCGAAGTGGCAAAGCGTGGGGTTTCGGCACATGCGTACTTGTAAGCCACGAAAACGGCATCGAAAACTGCTGCATTTTGTTCCAAGGTGTTTGTACCACCATCATCTTCATCACCATCATCATCATCATCATCACCATCACCATGACCATGACCATTACTATATCCTTGTGCATTCTGTTCTGCGAAACGGCAAAATCGTTACAATACCAGTGATTTGGGCATGCTCGCACAAGGCATGAAGGATTGCAACAGTGCGTCCTGTTCCAGAAACATCAAACATCCTTCAGCATGTTGTATTAAAGTGGCAGAAATGTAAATTCCAGTGTTTTGAGCATGCTTGACTGTGTGAGGCACTGT